GTAGGTGCGAAAATGCAGAAAACAGTAAAGAACCAAGTTCAGAGCCAGACTGATAGTTTGCCCACTTGTAGGTTACTGACGAGATACTGGCCCTTGTATGACCACAAGAGGGTCACTGGAAGACCCCATATCAGTGTGATAGGAAAGTGGCAGATTATAGCTATCACGTAATACTTTATGGATGATTGCCTGACAGTAATGATTAAAGTTGTACCAGCTTTGATAGACCCTTGTCTGTAAACCAACTTAACCTTTGGATGGGTACGCGAAGCTTGGGGTTCTGTACGCTGGGATCAGTTTATGTGAAAGCACTCCAGAGCAGCTGTCATGACAGAGAGTTTAAATGGGTGTTCTTGGCCTAGTGTTTGTGGCAATGCTTGCCGTCTTATTACCCAGACATAATCCCAGACGTAGCCATTTCCTTACCTCATCATCTGAGGATTCGTCCTTGATGTCCTCAATGTCTGGATTAGGATTATTGGTGGCGTCCATCTCCTCCAGGGACAGGCGGCTGTCGTACCAGTTGAACTTGAAACCCTTCTCATCCTGGAGATCAGAAAGAAAAAGAAAATCATTAATCCTAAAAAAAGGTATAGTGTTCAGAGAGGTGATTTCTCACAGAAGTGAGACGTGGCTGTTTCAGCACCTCCATCTGTGTTTGTTTTCCTGCTTTTTTGTTTCTGTCGTCCCCTTTCCTTGAGTGGCTTTCAGCCTTGAAGGGATAACTTCACAAAACAGAGAGGACAAGTCAAACAGAAAAATGGTGTTTTCAGAAAAGTAAACCCGTACAACAAACTATAACCCTGGATGAACCAGGACAGCTCAGGCAAACCAAATGGTCTGTTTGAATAATACAGAGGACCTCTAGTGTCCGTGTTTGTTCTTCCTATTCTTCGAACTTCAACTTTTTCTTAACATGTCCTGTGAAGCTGGTGTAAGAAAGCCTTCCAGGATATAGACCTGGGTCCTGACAGGACTGTTCCCTAGTGTAGTACAAGTCCTCGGAGGTACCAGACAACCTGAGGACATCACACCTTACACTCACCCCTTGCTCCCCTTCCTCCCCTTCCAGGAAGTCAAAGACCTTCAGCAGCGGGATGTCTCCCCCTTCCTCCTGCTTGCTGTCGGGGTTCATGGCGTCCACCAGGGATGTGGACTCTGAGGACGAGCACAGGCTGTTCTGCCGCTCCTGGGTGATGTCGCTGGTGGAGCTGAATATCACCTGGAGACAAAGGAAATCAATTCACTAAGAAGGGATGTCCTCGGTTGAATTTCCAGCATGAGCCTCACTGTCCATATCCCAGGTACTTTAAGGATGTTCTGCAAGTGATGTTATGTTTACAATTTTTACTGTCAGAACGGAGACACACAAAAGTCAATCAAATGCGAAAGTTGTCCTCAGTAGTTGAGACATGGTGCGCATACGACCTGTACTCTGCATGTTGCTCATTTGGAATTATCCATGTTTAAAATGTAGCCAAAATACAGATGACACTGAGGACGCTGTGAAGACTTTCTTAAATGAATGCGTTGGACATGCATGCTTGAAGATGAACCCTGAAGAAATGTTACAGATATGTCTTGCTATGATCACAGTTTAAAAGTAGAAAAATAAAGGTTCGTCATTTTGAAAACTATCACCAGATGCTCGTGGAAAACGGTTCATCCTTTCAGCTATTCGCGATGGAGCAGCATTCGTACACACGAAATGTTGTAAACGAACTGTTTGAACAAAGGAGGACAACTGATGAGCTTACCGATGGGCTTCTGGGTAGCCCGACCTTCTGGCCAAGACCGTTGAGCACGTTGACCAGCCTCTCCCTGGTCCGACGCATGGACAGCTGGGGCTTACGCCACGCCGACGGCACCACACTCTGATTGGCTGACGCGGAGCCGTTGTTTGACGCACCACCTGTCAGCTGGGACACCTGCAGATGTGGTGAGGGTAAAAAACAAGAGATCCTATGCTAGATGACCGGTAGAAGTTTTGCCATTTAAGTTTCAGCAATATCATCATTAAAGGAGTGTAAACTTTTTAAAACAAAATTGTAAAGTTTTAAAACAAAATTGTAAAATTCAAAAAGCTAGAAAAATCTACAAACAACTTTTAAACAGCTCTGAGACGTAATACGACACAAGATTTATAGCATTTTCAGCGAGTATGTGAGTGATTAGGTTTAAATGAAACACATGACACTGTGCACAGGTACCATACCAAAACGTGTTTCCTTTGGTAGATAAAATGAGATGAACACAATCCTCATACTGCTGTATTCTATAAACCGATTGTGGAGATACCATTCCTTCTGTGATACAACACTCAACATGTGTATTCTAAAACTTGAGGCACAAGTGCCAGACATCCTACTGGTTGCGAGCATACCGCCCGTGCTTGAAGCACAAGTGCCAGAGATCCCACTGGTTGCGAGCGTACTGCCCGTGCTGGAAGCACAAGTGCCAGAGATCCCACTGGTTGCGAGCGTACCGCCTGTGCTTGAAGCACAAGTG